ACAACCCATGTCAAAGAAGTCACAACCCATGTCAAAGAAGTCACAACCCATGTCAAAGAAGTCACAACCCATGTCAAAGAAGTCACAACAACACATTTGTCTGCCATGCAAGAAACATTTCCATCCAAACAAGGAGCAAGGACATGTGTACAGTTTCACTTTTGGTACACAGAGACAAGCAGGGGACATGTTCATCTCCTACATTAGGCTGATTATACAAGTTGTGCATTCATAAAGTTTGTCAATATGACAGTACAGCAGACATTATAGGTCTAGAACCAGTATACGTATATCTGAGAGTCTACGTCAGATACTATAGGTCTAGAACCAGTATACGTATATCTGAGAGTCTACGTCAGATACTATAGGTCTAGAACCAGTATACGTATATCTGAGAGTCTACGTCAGACTAGAACCAGTAGGCCTATATATATTTTTTAGAGTTTACATCAGACTAGAAGCAGTATATATTTATATATATCTGACAGTCTTTTTAGTTTTAGTTAGAGTTTCACAGCACTTCCAACAAAATTCGGTCATATAAGTGGTCATGAGTGGACGGGATAAAACAATCCGACAGTTGAGTTGTGAGTGTGAGGGCACAGACAGTGTGACAAACACACTCATAGACACGCTAAGGTCATGAGTGGACGGGATAAAACAATCAGACAGTTGAGTTGTGAGTGTGGGGGGGGGGGTGGAAACGGGTGAGGGTATTTTGTACTAGACAAGCTAGCTGGTATAATGTGATACTTGGTGTTTATACAAACACATGCAACACACACACATAGACATGCAACACACACACACACACACACACACACACACACACACACAGAAGAAAGACTTACACGTCTGATGGAGCTCCTTGACGCTGTTCAACTTCTGCGATCCTGGAAACAGATAGAAAAGTTACACTTAACGCATTTGTATATAAGTCATTTACACATATGACACTTGTATATAAGTCATTTACACATATGACACTTGTATATAAGTCATTTACACATATAGCACACGTACATTTATGGGAACAACAATTAACTTTCCTTTCTGTGACATGCACACAAGCATGCCCGACAGATGAAGCAATGACTCTGTACATATTCTTGAAAAATTTTGTAGAGAAAAAATCCAGCTACAGTTTATTTCATCTTTTTCTTCTGGTGCCAGATGTCAAAACAGACATGAGCAGCCATGGTTCATCACTTGTTTCTTTCCTTGGCTATTCTTTAAAAAACCCTTTATCCCTTGGCCACGACACCTACACTAAAGCAGAAATTGGAAAATTATCAGCAAAAGGAAAAGTTCTAATTTTTTAAAATCTACACAAAAAAATAAAAAAATGGACAGACGACAAATCGGGAAAAAATCCAACAAAAACAACTGACAACAAGTCTCAAGTTTTAAAAAAAGACTTGTCTTACCGACTGGTGAGCATCTCTAGCCTGGAGTGCATGTCTTGGGAAATGCTGTGTTGAGGGGATGGGTTGGGGCTGGGGAAACAGAGAGAGACAGAACTTTGTTAGACAGAGAGACACAAGTGTCAAACAGATAGATACAGGTTCCAGACAGACGGACACAAGTCCCAGACAGATAGATACAGGTGTCACACAGATAGAAGTGTCAGACAGATGGACACAAGTGTCAGACAGATGGACACAGGTGTCAGACAGATAGAAGTGTCAGACAGATGGACACAGGTGTCAGACAGATAGAAGTGTCAGACAGATGGACACAAGTCTCAGACAGATGGACACAAGTCTCAGACAGATGGACACAGGTGTCAGACAGATAGAAGTGTCAGACAGATGGACACAAGTCTCAGACAGATGGACACATGTGTCAGACAGATAGAAGTGTCAGACAACAGAACAGAGGAGTCAGACAGATGGGCACAAGTCTCAGACAGATGGACACAAGTCTCAGACAGATGGACACAAGTGTCAGACAGATGGACACAAGTCTCAGACAGATGGACACAGGTGTCAGACAGATGGACACAAGTGTCAGACAGATGGACACAAGTCTCAGACAGATGGACACACGTGTCAGACAGATGGACACACGTCTCAGACAGATGGACACAAGTGTCGGACAGATGGACGAGGCATCTCTATGCCACACTGGTGGAAAAACTTTGGAAAAGTGGCTCCTGTGGTGTAGTGCTCAGACTCTTTGAAGCTGATCGCAGAACACCCGAGTTCAATTCGCCAATGGAGAAGTTGTTATTTTTTAGAATCCCTATTAGTTTTACGTCTCCATCAACACAATGTTGACTCGGGAGGCTGGCTGCCCTGTCCTTGCCTGTTAGGACTATCCTGGGCTGAATGGGAAATAACCTCCCAGCAGAGACAGAGGCCAGCAGACAGATAAAGATACTCCATAGAAAAAAGCTTCACCTCTCAGGTATCAAACTCATGTCTTTTGCCTACGCTGGTGAGGAGCCTAAGTGCTACACCACAGACACTGGTAGGTATAGGTGGATTATTTTTTTGTTACCTTTCTAGGCTGTCTCCTTCAAGATGTGACTCCACCGGCAGATATCCTCGTCTCGGGTGTTTCTTGAAGTGACGTTTGGATTTGAACTTGTTCTTGAACACTTTGGAAAAGTCTCGGACGTCTTCACCTGAGGTTGTCTGAATACCGAGGAAACAAAACCAACAAAAGCTTCCTGAGTTATCACATAAAGAAATTAAGCAATACATTGGGGGGGCGGGGGGTGCGATGGGGGATAGAGGGAGGGAATACCTTATACCTGGTACGGTGTACATTTGTGAAAACTTCCACAATCAATAAAAATAATAATGATAATGGAAATTTGTGTAGCATCTCTATCCCACACACATTTTTCTCTCTGCTTCTATCCCACACACATTTTTCTCTCTGCTTCTATCCCACACACACATTTCTCTCTGCCTCTATCCCACACACATTTCTCTCTCTGCCTCTATCCCACACACATTTCTCTCTCTGCCTCTATCCCACACACATTTCTCTCTCTGCCTCTATCCCACACACATTTCTCTCTGCCTCTATCCCACACACATTTCTCTCTCTGCCTCTATCCCACACATACTTTTGTGCAAGTCTGCACGCTCCAATAAGACAATATCCACCCCTCCTCCTCCTCCTCCTCCTCACTGAAGCAGTAAAATGTTCTTTTCCCATCAGTAGCAAGCTGTACAAATTTACTGAGCCCAGACAGAAACATTTTACAGGATACAGAAAACGGCTTTTTTAAAAAGGCATACAAAATTATTTTTTTAAAATTTGAGTTTAAAATAATTTAACAGTTGCCCAACGATATCTGTCTTGCATTAGCAGGAGGTAGGAAATTTGTGCCGAAACACTTCTGGTTCAACTTGGTAGATCATACAATTTGTGCTGAAATACTTTCGGTAGAACTGAGTTGACCATACAATTTGTGCCAAAACATTTCTGATAGAACTGAGTTGACCATACAATTTGTGCCAAGACATTTCTGGTAGAACTGAGTTGACCAGACAATTTGTGCCAAGACATTTCTGGTAGAACTGAGTTGACCATACAATTTGTGCCGAGTAGAAGCGAGTTGCTCACGGCATGGCTGGTGACTCACCGTTGTGCAGTACTCCTGCATGGGGTGCGTCAACTTGTGGGATTTGGCGATGCGACCGGAGAAGAAACAGTTCTGGCACACGTCAAAGTTGAAACACTTCAGACAGCGGTATCTGTTGGACATACACAGCCAGTTAGGAAAGTATATTATCACACACATACACACACACACACACACACACACATTCACACACACATATTCACAAACACACACACACACACACATTCACACACATACACACACACATATTCACAAACACACACACACACACACAGATATTCACAAACACACACACACATATTCACAAACACACACACACACATATTCACAAACACACACACAAACATATTCACACACATACAAACATGTGCGTGCACACACACAAACACACTCACACACAGGAAAGGTTGCTATATTTCAAACACAAAAATTCTATGTAAGAGCCTTTGACTCTTAAGGAGTACTGCACCAGTACAAAACACAACCGTCAGTCGATGTTTCATTCAGCTGTTATTTAAGACAGGAAAGAAAGTGACAAGTCCTGTGCCGTTTGTTCTCTAGACTAGTCGTACCGTCAGTCGATGTTTCATTCAGCTGTTATTCAAGACAGGAAAGAAAGTGACAAGTCCTGTGCCGTTTGTTCTCTAGACTAGTCGTACCGTCAGTCGATGTTACATTCAGCTGTTATTCAAGACAGGAAAGAAAGTGACAAGTCTTGTGCCGTTTGTTCTCTAGACTAGTCGTACCGTCAGTCGATGTTTCATTCAGCTGTTATTTAAGACAGGAAAGAAAGTGACAAGTCCTGTGCCGTTTGTTCTCTAGACTAGTCGTACCGTCAGTCGATGTTTCATTTAGCTGTTATTTAAGACAGGAAAGAAAGTGACAAGTCCTGTGCCATTTGTTCTCTAGACTAGTCGGCAAGCAGGACACATGGGAGGAAATTTAAATCAGTTTTTTTTTCTGTCATGGAGCACAACCATTTTCTTTTATTTTGAGTAGCTATGGAAACATCAGCAGATCCACAGCCGACTGACTCAAACATCAGCTGATCCACAGCCGACTGACTCAAACATCAGCTGATCCACAGCCGACTGACTCAAACATCAGCTGGATCAGTGGCCTAATGATAAGGGCTGCCTGCTTCTTCTACTTCTCCACTGTGTTTGTATTGTCCAACTCCTAGGGGTATCCTTGACAACTGTGTGGGCGGCTGGAGGGTGCGACTGATAGATTCTACTTCTTTACACTCCTTCTGTTGTTCGTCTGCCTGTGTCTCTGTCTGTATGTCTGTGTGTCCTACATCCCCTTGCACCAAACAACCATTATTGCGTCGGTACTTCTGTTTATTCTACATTTCTGTATTCTGCTTCTCTTTATTCTACATTTCTTTATTCTACATTTCTCTATTCTACATTTCTTTATTCTGCTTCTCTTTATTCTACATTTTTTTATTCTGCTTCTCTTTATTCTACATTTCTTTATTCTGCTTCTCTTTATTCAACATTTCTTTATTCTGCTTCTCTTTATTCTACATTTCTGTATTCTGCTTTTCTTTATTCTACATTACTGTATTCTGCTTCTCTTTATTCTCCATTTCTTTATTCTCCATTTCTTTATTCTGCTTCTCTTTATTCTACATTTCTGTATTCTGCTTCTCTTTATTCTATATTTCTTTATTCTACATTTCTTTATTCTGCTTCTCTTTATTCTACATTTTTTTATTCTGCTTCTCTTTATTCTACATTTCTTTATTCTGCTTCTCTTTATTCTACATTTCTCTATTCTGCTTCTCTTTATTCTACATTTCTTTATTCTGCTTCTCTTTATTCTACATTTCTGTATTCTGCTTCTCTTTATTCTATATTTCTTTATTCTACATTTCTTTATTCTGCTTCTCTTTATTCTACATTTTTTTATTCTGCTTCTCTTTATTCTACATTTCTTTATTCTGCTTCTCTTTATTCTACATTTCTTTATTCTGCTTCTCTTTATTCTACATTTCTCTATTCTGCTTCTCTTTATTCTACATTTCTGTATTCTGCTTCTCTTTATTCTATATTTCTTTATTCTACATTTCTCTATTCTGCTTCTCTTTATTCTACATTTCTTTATTCTGCTTCTCTTTATTCTACATTTCTTTATTCTGCTTCTCTTTATTCCATATTTCTTTATTGTACTTCTCTTTATTTCAACCCTCCAAGTTACCAACACAAAGCAGTAAACAGCTGCGCAGCCACCCACCTAAAGCCTACGATGGGGAACTCCTTGCAGACGTTACACTTGGCCTGGTGTTTGGCCGTCTCTGCGGCGGCCAGCCGGTGTAGCACAGGGAGCCACACCAGGGACTGGGGTTCCAACCTCAGCCACTCCAGGAAGTGGGAGGCTTCGATCTCCGGTCTGCCATTGGCCTGTGTGGGGTGGAAATGTAAGTGTAAGGGTTTAACAGACGGTCCATTAAAACGATGATGACAATGATGGCTATGATTCGGAAGATGAAATTATTGACACTCAATTTCACTTGAAATTTCTTCATTTCAACAATTTTTACTAACAAAGAATATCATTCTTAATAACAAAGTGAATATCAATATTCAGTTCTTCGATGTGGAAATTTCAGGAAATGACAGACTGGTGTATACGACTCTCCTCTCATCCTGAACAGATTATCAAAAATACCTTTGGGCTATGGAGAGAGAAAAAAAAATGTTTTCAAAAAATTTTAAAAATTGTCTCTGCTGCAAAAAAGCAATATAGAAAAATGTAATCCTACAATCACACACCGAGGTAATATGATTGATCTTATCTTATCTTATCTTATAATAAGACGGTCTTCACCTTTTCAAAGCAGCTTCTCACGCTGGGCTCAATGTTGCTCCCACCAAACGATGCAATCTCCCCCAACTGTCGCGGGATCTGCATACAGTCGTGTAGGAGCAACCCAAGCTTGCGCTGGTCCGAGAACGCATTTGTGTCGGCGATCAGTCGGAACAGGTCTGAGGAGAGTCCATGGTTGGTTTATTACAAATCTTTCTTTGTTCATGGTTATTATATGTAAAGGTATGGATGGTCGATATCAAACAGGACAGACCACAGATACCCTAATATGAATACAAGACACAGAACACCACCATGCCATGTAGGTCAGCCGCCATACGCCAAGTGTAGTGACTCTTGAATTGAAGAGCTCTCATCAAGCATGACCAGTTGTTTCCCTTGGCGTATACTAATAATAGCCAAAACATTAGAGTACAAACATAATACTGGTACAGTACACTTCCCATCTTTCTTTTCACGGGGTCAGTACACTTCTCTCTTTGTTCGGGGAGAGTATGAGCCAAGTTTCACGAGAAGAAACTCGTGGCTAATGTTTGTTCGTTCGAGTAAAGAGGAGGACAACCGCACTATAACAGTCATTTAGTCCTGGGGCGAAGCAAGACAGACAGACAGAAATGACAGTGGGAAAGAAAAGAAGATGGACCTGCCAGTGGCACCCTGCAACCTCCCACAAACCAGATAACAGCACCAAGGAAAGCATAACTGAGTCAGCAAGGGTAAAAGATTTGCTCAGTAAGGGTTAATGACTTGTCCAGTAAGGGTTAATGACTTGTCCAGTAAGGGTTAATGAATTGTCCTGTAAGGGTTAATGAATTGTCCTATAAGGGTTAATGACTTATCCACTAAGAGTTAATGAATTGTCTTGTAAGGGTTAATGACTTGTCCTGTAAGGGTTTCTGGATTGTCCAGTGAGGGTATATGACTTGTCTGGTACGGTTTAACGATTCGTCGAGTCAGGGATAACGTCCGATAAGGGTAAATGACTGGTTCAGTAAGGGTAAATGACTGGTTCAGTAAGGGTAAATGACTGGTTCAGTAAGGGTAAATGACTGGTTCAGTAAGGGTAAATGACTTGTCCAGTAAGGGTAAATGACTGGTTCAGTAAGGGTAAATGACTGGTTCAGTAAGGGTTAATGACTGGTCCAGTAAGGGTAAATGACTGGTTCAGTAAGGGTTAATGACTGGTTCAGTAAGGGTAAATGACTGGTTCAGTAAGGGTAAATGACTGGTCCAGTAAGGGTAAATGACTGGTCCAGTAAGGGTAAATGACTGGTTCAGTAAGGGTAAATGACTGGTTCAGTAAGGGTTAATGACTGGTCCAGTAAGGGTAAATGACTGGTCCAGTAAGGGTTAATGACTGGTTCAGTAAGGGTTAATGACTGGTTCAGTAAGGGTAAATGACTGGTTCAGTAAGGGTTAATGACTTGTCCAGTAAGGGTTAATGACTTGTCCAGTAAGGGTTAATGACTTGTCCAGTAAGGGTAAATGACTGGTCCAGTAAGGGTAAATGACTGGTCCAGTAAGGGTAAATGACTGGTCCAGTAAGGGTAAATGACTGGTCCAGTAAGGGTAAATGACTGGTTCAGTAAGGGTTAATGAGTTGTCCAGTAAGGGTAAATGACTGGTTCAGTAAGGGTAAATGACTGGTTCAGTAAGGGTTAATGAATTGTCCTGTAAGGGTAAATGACTGGTTCAGTAAGGGTAAATGACTGGTTCAGTAAGGGTTAATGACTTGTCCTGTAAGGGTAAATGACTGGTTCAGTAAGGGTAAATGAATGGTTCAGTAAGGGTTAATGACTGGTTCAGTAAGGGTTAATGAGTTGTCCAGTAAGGGTAAATGACTGGTTCAGTAAGGGTAAATGACTGGTTCAGTAAGGGTTAATGACTTGTCCTGTAAGGGTAAATGACTGGTTCAGTAAGGGTAAATGACTGGTTCAGTAAGGGTTAATGAATTGTCCTGTAAGGGTAAATGACTGGTTCAGTAAGGGTAAATGACTGGTTCAGTAAGGGTTAATGAATTGTCCTGTAAGGGTAAATGACTGGTTCAGTAAGGGTAAATGACTGGTTCAGTAAGGGTTAATGACTTGTCCTGTAAGGGTAAATGACTGGTTCAGTAAGGGTAAATGACTGGTTCAGTAAGGGTAAATGACTGGTTCAGTAAGAGTTAATGAATTGTCCTGTAAGGGTTAATGACTGGTTCAGTAAGGGTAAATGACTGGTTCAGTAAGGGTTAATGACTGGTTCAGTAAGGGTAAATGACTGGTTCAGTAAGGGTAAATGACTGGTTCAGTAAGGGTAAATGACTGGTTCAGTAAGGGTTAATGAATTACTCACATCGGTACTTGTCCTCTAGTTGAGCCTGGGACAGACAGATGAGGCCGACCTTGAAGGACAGGACTCGCAGCTTCCCGCTCCGCACACTGAGGCACGGATAGATACAGAGTCAATATTACTACACGTGCGCACATGTGTGGGGAACAGGTCACCATAGACTCAACATGACTAACATTGTGACCTCAGTGCTTTCTTGTCGCATCTCCATTTTTTTTAAACATTGAAAATTTGACTTCTTCTTAAGCTTACTCTTTGTTCTGAATTGTTTTCACTGTTATTAAAAATGGAGATATGACAACAAAGCACGGAGGTCGCGACACGCGTGTGCATGTGTGGGGCACAGGTAGACACAGACTTAACATGACTACACGCGTGTATATGTGTGGGGCACAGGTAGACACAGACTCAACATGACTACACGCGTGTACATGTGTGGGGCACAGGTAGAAGACACAAATTCAATATTAGTATATGTGTGTACATGTGTTGTACCATTCTGAAATCAGACACTTTTCAAAACAGACAGCCTCAACAGTACTTCAGTATGTGGGGCATTGTGATGAATCAGGCTCTGTCAAAATAACGAAAGAAAACGAAACATTTTTGTGCTCGTTGGACAGTTTTTATAAAATTTTCGTTTTTGGCTCATCACGTGTTATGTTCATTTAAAAACACATTTCTGTGTGGATTTTATTGAAAAACATAGATCAAAGGTACAAAAAAAATTGTAAATTTGCAATTTTCAAAAACACTCAAGGTAACTGTGGTGGCCATTCTCTCCCTAATTTTACCTCTGACCTCTTAAGAAATGCTGTGATATTTACCTGTCATAGACGTCCAGGATCCAGTTCAAAGTCAGGTCCACAGACAGAGGAACGTTGACGATGTCTGGATGCTCCTTCGCTGCGGCTTCAAACACGGTGGAGAGGCACTCAATTATCTCCCCTACATCGATGAGTTTGTCGTTCCTCCCCCTCAGCCCATGGCTGTCAAATGCATCCACGGCCGACTGGAGGGGTACCATATCCACTGGAACAAAGCCAAACAAAGCAATATTGAACAAATCCCACAGAACAAATCCAAAACAAATCCATTGACCAAATCCCATTGAACAAGTCCCATGTTGAACAAATCCCACAGAACTAATCCACTGAATAAATCCCATGTACCACAGAGCGATGTTACCCTTCAACATTCTGATCATACCTTCCCTGCTGTCGATAAAGTACAAAAAGGAAAAGATGTACATCAATTAAAAAAACCCTGATGAAAAAGCATTGAAGCCATCAACTATAGGCTAATACTTTCTGCACGCTGCTTTGTCCGTTTGTATTATTTGTTTGCATTATTATTTTACATGCATCAAAATACAGCTGTACTTAGTTTCAGAAACACATGTAGAAAAAGAAATATCACAATATGATATCAAAATACAGCTGTATTTAGTTTCAGAAACACATGTAGAAAAAGAAATATCACAATATGATATCAAAATACAGCTGTATTTAGTTTCAGAAACACATGTAGAAAAAGAAATATCACAATATGATATCAAAATACAGCAGTATTTAGTTTCAAAACACATTTAGAAGAAAAAATACCACTTTACATGTACCAAAATACGGCTGTATTTAGTTTCAAAACCACATATAGAAGAAGAAACATCATTTTGCATGCATCAAAACACAGCTGTATTTAGTTTCAAAACCACATATAGAAGAAGAAACATAATTTTGCATGCATCAAAACACAGCTGTATTTAGTTTCAAAACCACATATAGAAGAAGAACCATCATTTTGCATGCATCAAAACACAGCTGTATTTAGTTTCAAAACCACATATAGAAGAAGAAACATCATTTTGCATGCATCAAAACACAGCTGTATTTAGTTTCAAAACCACATAGAAAAAGAAATATGAGTAAGTAAACCCCAGTCAATAATATTATGGTCTTTGCTCCACTCCCTGGTCTTTCTGGAGTTTGGAAATCGTCCAGAAAACCCCCCCACCAAAATGCTAAATGGACAAACTCACAGCAAAGTTTCTTCTGTAGCATGCGGAGCTTCATCCCCGTCCTGTATGCGGCAAAGCGGATCTTGTTCAGCTCAACTGGGAACCAAAAATTGAATCACACAATTAGAGTTAGTTATTTCAGAATATAGCTCGTTCTATAGAACAACAAAAGGTTGTTCACAAGCCATGGTGTCAGTGGGACATTCTATAGAACAACAAAAGGTTGTTCACAGACAATACAAGCCATGGTGTCAGTGGGACATTGTCAGCTGACACTGACACAGAGTCCAGAGCCAAGATGTCATGACACCTTCCTCAACAATTTGAAGAATTTGCGGATAAACCAGGAGGTCTCGGCTCAAGCTAATTAATTTGCATTTTGAGACCCAACATTAGCTTAAATATTTGGCAAATAATCACATGAAACTAAGAAACACATTAACCAATAACAAGATTGTAACAGAAGTTAAAAACCCCCATCAAACAACAAAGAAAGTAATGCTAGTGGTGCAGAACAATACAACGCATCACTCACTTAGAACATCCATCCGTTTATCAAATCGGACAACAAACAACACTAACTCAGAGCATCACAACAGTTTATGATATAGAACAACACAACAGTTTATGATATAGAACAACACAACAGTTTATGATATAGAACAATACAACACAACAGTTTATGATATAGAACAACACAACAGTTTATGATATAGAACA